CCTACTTTACCCAGCAAATTTAAATTGCAAAAATATTTGCAAGATTTTCAAAACCTAAATGTGTATTCAAGAAAAACTAAAATTGTGCAAATTCCCTTTAAAGGCGTCTGGGCAAAAATCTACGCATAATGTCTTTGTAGAAATTGTGAAATCTGCTACCCTTTGTTATGGGCTTTTCAAACCTCGAGTGAGCAGCATTCGGTTTCTTCTATTTGAAATCAAACGTGTTTTGGTCTTAAATTCAATAATCATTTACTTTACGGATTTGTTTATTTTATACATTTTTATGCATTTTTCAAAATGCATACACCAACAAAAAAGTATTTAAGAAAAAAGGCTAACAAATTATGTTTAATGGGTCAAATTGTGATTGAAAGTCACAGCTTTCTGAAATATTGACAGAACCGTTAAATCCACGTGAAAGAGCTAAAAAATGTTGAACTCCAATGGATGGAAGTAGGTCTAAATATAGATTAAGTCTGGTAAAGATAAAATAAGGCATTTTAGCCTAAAGTGAGGGACATGAATGTATTAGTTAGAAAAGTAAAAAAAATGAACAGCCTCAGACCAATTCTTTTTGAGTTATCGCAAAAAAACTATAGAAGGTTGAGGTCACAGTGACCCCCCTTAGTCGCAATTTTAATCTAACCTAAGTCATGCCTATGCGCCTAACGTATTACAAAAATTAAGAACAGGAAGTGAGAGATAAATTGTGTATCCCTAGCATTTCGTAATTTCAAACAAAATTTTCATATTCTAAAAATGCCTTTGGAAAGTTCAACACTGGAAACGAAAATGATATTTCTTCAAACAATTATCAAATCACTTCCTTAAAGAGCAAATGATTAAACTAAACTAATTTATCTAAAAAAAGCTGTGGAATAGCTATTAAAGCCTTTTTCTATCAAATAACATAAAAAATCCATAAGTGAGTTAATTTAAATACCTCCAGTAAAAATATTTGTCATTTCCAAAAAAATCGTCAGTTTTAAAATAGTAAGTTGAACCAGAATAATCCACTTGTATATAAAAGGAGACATCCCCACTTGAACTTGACAACTTTACACCTCGGCAACATTCTTAACAAAATATAAAAATAATGTTTTTGAAGAAATTACCACATTATAGCATAATTTGGAAGAATTTTCTTTAATATACATTTTATCTATTCAATTTGATAATAGTTACCTGAATCATCAGTTATAAGACCAGTTATATCTGTCACTAAAATGGAACCATATTCTTAGAGTTCCAAAACCACGGGCATATTAAGGCTAAATTTAGAAGGGGGGCAAGAATACTTCAAATTGGAATGTTTTGTCTATTTGCCTCTTACGGAAAAAAAAACAACTCAAATACACAAGTATTCGGAATTTAGCAAATTTACAAAATGTGCTAGTTTTTTGCATAGTCTTAGATTTCAATTGAAATGATAAAAAAGAGCAAGGGTCACAGATTAAAAGAAAAATTAATACATTTTAGAATTTTGCTCACCACATTCAGGAGTATTAGCAGTACTACCATCATTAAAAATCCAATTTGTAGAGTCAGATGGACACTCACCATCATCAGTTTCAACTAGTGTATGGCTTCCATCTTTTATAGACCAACCACTACTTCTAAATAAGCAAAGAAGCTGAATCAAGATGCTGAAAATTATCTCCTTCAATTTTCGATCACATGAAGCATTACAAATATGATATCATGTTCTATTTAAATCAAAACAGTTAGTCTCCCTTCCAAAGCTGACTTAGCCTTTCCTCTTTAAGCCAATCCAACCCCTACTAAAGCTACAAATTCGAACTTTTAGATTCTGAATTCTTAAACCAACATTTCTTCAATATCAACATGTCAAAACATCAACATCATAAGAAAAAACTTACTCTTTCTTAATATATAAGCCCTGTAACAGAGAATCAATTTGATCATATTTGTAAGTTTTGAATTCGAAGGTAGCTTTTCTTGTTGATCCTTTAATAATCGCTGCTTGAACATAAGTGCAACAATCTGAAATTGATGTAAAATACATAAAATTAGATCTATTTCAGGGGCATCCGAGGGGGGGGGTTCTTTTAATATTACATCTTCCTCAGGCAATCTACATTCTACATTGCATTGCATTGCACTCACCCAAACTAAAAGATTAAGAAAAGAAATAAAATACTTTCTGATTCACAACAATATCTTTCAAAGCTTTGTCTGATCAAGTATTGCATTAAAAATCCATGTTTCCAATTTTGAAAACTGAATATTTTTTTTGTGGTTTCTGTACAAAAGTGACTCGCACATTTCTTGCTTCAGAAACGATGGAGAAATGAAGGTTTCAAAGGTACATCGGACGTGCCACTCTATAAATGGAGGGTCACTTGAAATTACGAATGTATTCCACTTAAGTATAATTACATTGTAATTGTATGGAAAAAATACTTTAAAATCTCACTTTTGCCCATAACTAAAAAAGTTAAATTAAAAAAGCTTTTATCAATACTGCCTTCAGTTTAAATATATATTTGATATCATAATTTATTATACAATATGTATCAATCCTATGAAAATATAGATAATTTTTTAGGAACGTTTCCATCTATATTTTTCATCCCTTGAAGCTTACACCACAGTATTAAGAGGGATTGCCTGGTTTTGTGCCCTTCCCCCCTTGACAACATTGCCCCCCCCTCCCTTAAGAAAATTACATAAATTTAAGTTTACATAGTTAAAAAGGTATCAATATTTTTTTCAAAAAAGGGGTTTTAAGGGGGGACACAATGTTGCCAAGGGGGGGAACACTATTTTTTTTTTGCGTGCTGACACGCGCAAAATGTGCCCCCTCCCACCTAGACAAATGCTCTTGTACCCCCTATTGATCTATTGCAACTGTAGTTGATCGTTGTTGTACATTGACATAGCAGACACTATGTAATTCCCATGTCTCATGTTCATTGAACTATTTAAAGTCATAAATTAAGCCTAAACGTTGCCCTCCTATTCCAGAGTTTTCTGGTTCCTACTCTACTTATACTTTGCTCATCTGTATGTTTGTATCCAATAAACGTTAAAACAGCTGAACTGACCGAGCCCAAAATTTTTAAGGCAACTCACATGGCCCATAAGGAAGGTTTAAAACTGGTTTAAAAATTTTATCGGGAAAAAATGTTGAAATTTATAATTTTTTTTAATTCACCAGTTTAAAGCATATTTATAAACTCTGTCCTCCTCCATCCGTCAGGTGGTCATAACTGCTTAACCAGATGTCGGCTTAAATTTTTTTTGAAACCACAGGTTTGTGTTGAGTACAGGAATTGAACCCGTGAACACCAGTCTGGACACCAATCCAGTTACTGGTTAGGGACAAGTGTGCTTAACTTCAGTGATCTAATGAGAACTGGTGTCACACACTCTCCACCCCACCTCACAAAAAATAAAAAATAAACTAATTTGTCAAAAAATGTTGTGGGGAAAGTGAAAACTATAACTATAAAAAAGTCATGATGAGCTATAGTAAAATATTTGTGAATATATAATTATAGAACTAAATGTGTATTTAATAAATTATTTTGAGATCAGGCCCATCATGTCGGCTTAAGATCATTTCGGGTCTTCAATCTAAAACACATAGGTTTTAGAATACGGTATATAAGATTATATATATTTGGAACAATAGACAAGTTTCAAGACTAAACAATTAAATGATATTTTATAACTGTACATAAATCTAAATCCCAACTTTTCATAAACAAAGAAAATTGAACATGATAAGTAACATTCAAAATTTTTACAAGTTATAAATAATCAGGGCAAACCCGGTAAAACAAAACCATTATTACCTCAATGTAAACTAACAGAGTTCAAACTATCAGTTAACGTAGTCACAAATATGTGACTTGTATAAAATCTAGTTAAGCTTAAAAACAGGGTGATTTCAACCCCTTTTTTGACGAGATTTTTTATACAAAAATTGTATGCAGATATCTACGAATATTTAGTTTATTCTAGTCAGGTTCAATCTGAACAAAAGAATGTTTAGTACATTAAAATAACATAATTGAATTAAAAGCTTAGAAACAAAAATACACACTTTTATTGCATAATCTCGGTGTTCTTTAGCTGAGTCCATCTTCCAAGAACCGAGAGAGAACATCTTAGACTTCACTCCTCTTCTGAGACCATATCCTTGATTTAGGTTCTTCTTTGATTCTCGGTTTCAAGTAGACTGATAATAAAGTGAGTGTACAGGTATATTGTGTACACTTGGAGGTGTGACAGGCTCCAACTGTACAGTGTACAAGTTCCGTTTCCAGTTTAGGGGTGGGGGGTGTCGAGTTCTGTAGATTTTTAAATTTATCTTTGATGGTGGCAGAGGAGACTTTTTCATTGTCCACATAGGTTTTACAATGATTTCATTTTATGCCATGCAAATTGTGTCATAAGTTTTATTAATATCTGTCAAAAACTTTCATAAGTTTAAATGGATAATNAACAGATCCAGGCAGAGAATTTACAGGCTATATAGCCTAGAATGTGATCATGCATGGTCCAGAAACATTCCCCAACCCAGAAAATTGATTGATTGATTGTTTTTGACCGCAAACATCTCAATTAGAGTTTAATATTTACACTCAAACTGAAACTCAAGATCATCAGGGAAAGCGATCTCATTCTTTACCCAACGCCTTCTATCTGCTCATCATAGATCCTGAATCTGAACTCATCCACATGGGATAGTCTGGCAGCAGCATTCCTCCTCTTCTTTGGCCTAACTCTCCCATGTCCAAGCAGCTCTGCTGGGTCCAGGGACCGGATCCACCAGATCCAACCCAGCCTCCATCATGGAGTCATCATTATCAAGGATGACCACGTCCTCCCTCTCCTTCTCAGGGTGAAGCATATCATCCTGGGCTCCGAACCCACTCTCTACTCCTAAAGGACCAGGAATAGGGAGGGACGAAGCCTGGACTGACACCTCAACACCCTGACCACCGATATCACCCTTCTTGACAGCTTTCTGCAGCCTCAACCTCATCCTCTTGACCTTACCAGGTTTTGCCTTGAACTTACTCCAGGCTTGTTTACATCCTCAACGCTTCTTGACTCAAGGTACCAGATGAACAGCCTCTCTCCAGCTAGTCCTCTTTTCAGCAGCCAAACAACTCTCCACCTCAGGATTACAGTCTCAGACTCAGCCTTGTGCAACTCAGACTTCTCCGCACCAAGGTTCCTCTTTACAGACTCATTTAGCTCAAATTCCACTCTGGCTACCTTAGGATCAGTCCCAACTGGTTACAGATGGCCAGGATCAAAGTAGCTCAACCCAAAGCTTAACGTACACAGGAGGAGAGTCACACAACTTGTCCCTGGAATCCCTGAGCCTCAGAGACTTGATCATCTCCACCCTGGTCTGCACACTATCTTCAAACACCTGATGATAATCTACACCTTCCAGGGACAACACTATAAACTCCAGAAACCTATTAACAGCGGTCAACTGATCACACTTCAAGTCCAAGTATCTACAAAGAACATCCGGACCCGGGAACACATTCCTCAGAATTAATCCAGCCAGGACATTATAAATTATAAATCCAAACTTGATATCTCCTAAAGCATAACACTGCAGAGCAGCAGGGACATCTATTCACCTGACCCAGCACATGTTATCTCCGATAGACACATTCTTATTTAACAAGGTCCAGCACACCTGCACACCCATAGCCGCCATGTTCTCGGAGTGGAACTTGTACCCAGCCAGCACAGCCAGATAAATTATATCCAAGAAACCTCGCTCTAACCTCATATCAGATACAGAGATCAAGTTCCAAGTACCTTACCTGTGGTTATAGAGAAACATCCTTCAATCTCATCCTTCAGGGTCTCCTAGATCTTCTCTCTCATGAAAAATATAGCATTGGAAATATCATTTTTCACTCCTTTATCTGTCTTTGTGAATGATCTATGAGGGCCAGCAAATATAATTCTTGAACCATAGATATCTTTGAAAGGACCAAGATACAGCTACCAGATGGAAGTATCTTTATCAGCACAGGATCTAGATTGGTGTTCTTGATTCCAAGCAATAAATGTATTCTAGAGCCTCCTAAATGTTTGGGAAGAACTAGATCTTTCTCCTCATCATTTGCTTGTGCTTTATACTCTTCACAGATATTGGATAAATCATAAGAACCAAATCCTGCAGAGCAAATTTAATTAAAGAATCCACCACAGTAGTACCAAGTTTGCCTAAATACTTCTCCAGGTCTTTCTTCATGTCCTGGAAGGAAGCTCAGAGCTTAGTGAGATCCTTGTGCCTGCAGAACAGAATATTGAATGGAGCAAGATTCTCAGACAGGGCCCATGGGGCACATCCTTGACATTTCAATGTTTTGAGCGCTTTGGCTTCAAATTTGCAATGACATGTTGTACAGACATTTTTAGGAGCCAAACATGCATAACATAACTTGACCTTATCCATCTCTCCACTGGATTGAACGAGAAGAAATCTGAACATGTACCAATCTCATGCTTATTTATGACTCCTAATGGACAAGGAATCTTGAAATATCTGGATACCAATGAGCATAATGATAAGAGGTTGCAAATACACCAGGAATAGGATCTTCCACTGTCTTTTTCTCACTTACTTCTTCAACATTGTGGACTGACTTTGGTTTGGATCTCAGAAATCTGGGTTTCACAGCTGATGAACTGGGTTTTTCTAGTACTCTGGATCCCTTGCTCTTATTTTTCTCTATGATGCACAGGTTCTTGAACATCTGATAAGCTTCAGAGACCCCACAAGATTCTTATAATCTAATCCTGACCTAGTCATCTCAGTGATCCAATCAGAATAAGTCCCTGGAGGTAATACCAAGGATAAACTACTCAAGGTAGCTCTGGAATGTAAACAATTCTCGAGCTTGTCTATTCCATTAACCTTTGACAGTCTCTCTAACCCATGTAGAAAACAGTAGGTATTTGAATAAAATGAGAACCTGGCATTGCTTTCATTAGGGTTACGTTTGGATCAAAGGGATAGATAATTTATTACATGGTTGATGATCCGGGATACCCCACTGTAATTCAGAATCAACCATTGTTTCATATCAGTGTGGGAATCAGATTTGTTAATCAACTTACTCTTGATAACCTCTAATAGGTGACGATTGTGTAATCTATTGGCTTAGAGGATAGAATTACCCCAACCCAAGTAAACAATTCCTCAACTTTAAACACCAATTTTCTGCAGTATCTAACAGCTCCCTTATAGAATCACAGTACTCTGAACCCATCCCGGAGAACGTAACATATTTATAGAGAGCTTTATGTATATTTCCTACAGCAGCATGCACACAAGGAACGTCTACAGTCTTGTACTTCTTGATTAGAGAAATATGCACAGTTTCCTCATCAATGGCATTCTGAGTAGATTGACACAATTGTTTAACAAAGCATTCAATTCCCTTTCTGATGATTTCTCACTCTCTACTGATACCTTCCAGTACGGAGTCATCTCTCATTACTGAAGTTCTTTCTGATATAATCTGAGGAACAGGCATATTGGTTACTTCCTTTGACAGATTTACCACTAAATTCTCTTAACCCATCAGTAGCATGTCTGCTTGCTAACACAGACTGTCTGAGCTCTCTTACTAAATCCCTTATAGAGTCAACAGCAATTCCAAGACCACTGCCATTTATCACCTCTTGTATAGAGTTGACAATCTCCCTGGGAATTTCTAGACTAGCTTTGGTTGTAATGTCCACGAACCATTCTTGTATCATATACATCTTCTTGGCCAACGAATCCTCAACTTTCACCATCATAGATTCCAAGTTACTTATCCTGTGTTCATCAGAAGCTAATAGTTGCCAAATCTCAGAAGTATTCAATGTAAGATCCTTGATTGACTCCTGTAGTATCTTGTACATGGATTTAGCTCCTTGTACTGCAATATTCAGAGACATTATAGCCCCATGGAATCTCTCCAATTTCTCCTGTTGACCATTCTGCCTGGCTTTCATTGCAGCCATCCAAGAATCTGTGCAATTAGAGATAACCTCAATCCCCAATTGAGAATCCACATTAAGACCAGGAATCCCAGATAGAATATCCCTTAAAGACAAATCCACATCAACAACTGCTGATTTGCTGTCTTAATGCTGCAATTAACTTGAAGGAGTTAGCAGTCTAGCTGGGTCCGAGTCATTTTTATCTGACCCCATCCTGACGCCACTACTGTCCTCACATTTACATTCTCCCGTGCAATTTCAATTTGTGACAAATCTAACTCCCCCTCCCCCCCCTCTGAGACCAGATGGGGGTAGGGTTTTGGATAACCGATCATCAGAAAATACAGGTACATCCACAAAAACATTATCTAGATTATATCTATCAGATTCCTGATTATTTTCTCTTCTCTCTTGAGTAATCCCGGGAAGAGGTTCACCAGCATGACCAGTAGGTTGATTCTAAGGTATTCCTAATCCGTTCTAGATTACAACAGTAGGGTTTTGGATAACCGATCATCAGAAAATACAGGTACATCCACGAAAACATTATCTAGATTATGTCTATCAGATTCCTGATTATTTTCTCTACTCTCTTGAGTAATCCCAGGAAGAGGTTCACTAGCATGACCAGTAGGTTGATTAGCTGAGGAACGGGTGAGTCATCCAGCTTCTTTCCACACAACATTCAATCTATCCTTTAGAATGTCCAATTCCCCAATTAAAGCACAATCTCCCCTTGCTAATAAAACCTCAGATATATTTTGCTCAATTTTGGTACATAACGAAATATGCTTAGAATCAATGGCATCTACCATTTTGTACAACTTTGGAAGCAAGTTCCCCCAATTTAAAAAATGCAATTTTGATGCAGGTATAATCATTTCTAAATGTTTTATCAATGGAATTCAATTTCGAAAATCTAATTGGCAAAACGTCTTCAGGTAGGTTCAGAGTACCACTCAATACATCCCTGTCGCCTCAGATGTGGACTTCTTTCTACCCACCCCCTGCATATCAGGTCATCCAGCAAACATAATATCACAAGGTTTTAATCCGATCTCAATTGAGATTGAATATTTCCCGATCAGGCCGATCACATCATCTATCAAAAGGATCTAATTGCTTTACTGCATTTGATTTTTTCTTCAATTTTTCCTCCACTTTCTGCAACAGGGCTTCCAATTCTTCACTTTCAAGTTCTCCATCTTCTCTTCCAGTTTCCCTCATGTTTGGTCTTCCAATATCTGGTTCTTTATCAAAACTGTCCACTACAATCTGTTTATATTATCCACAACTTGTTGCTTTTCTGTTACTGTTCTTCTGACACAGTTTTCCTCCTTTTACTATTCAATACAGGCAATCACTTGTATTTTTGTTCCTTGGAGTCTGCGGCATTTAACTAGGGTTCCTTGATTCTCACCACTGCTACCACCTTTGTATTAAATGCCCTACTCCGTGAAGGGTTCCCGAACATGTATCTATACAGGTAAAATTCAGTTTCAGGTAGCTATCAATACTAAACCCAGATACAATCCCATGAGCTATTGATGTTAACCAGACACTAGCTTGAATTCTATCATTGCCAACCCAATGGGTGTGATCTTGTCAGCAATTGATGTCAACAAGCAACACTAGCTATTAATTGATCAATGCCAAACCAATGGATACAATTTATGTCAAGCGGACACTAGTTCATATTCTATCAATGCCAAACTAATGGGGGTGATTGATGTCAACAAGGACACTTGCTATTAATCAATCAATGCTAAGCCAATGGGCACAATCTCAGCTCCTATGTTTCAATGAGAACCAATTAATCTCTTGCTGCAATCAAATCGGAGTTTCTATATCAACTGAGTATATTTCTTCATGTTAGATTCAAGTTAGGTTATAACATCGTAATTACAAGTTATGCGCTGTTTTATTTGTATATATATATATAACGTAATTAAGCAATCACAATGTGGGTATGACGGAGTTATATATATCTATGTGTCTAGATTGGTTTAATCGCAATACATGATTTACGTATTTACTAATGAGCACATTTAGCTATATGGACAATGTACAACGTATCTAGATTTACTATGTGGCCTCTGTATTTGTTACGTCCATATTACCAGTGTTAATAAATTATTTAAGTAATTTTCTCAGGTGGACTCATCAGACACTCCCTCTTAATACTGTGGTGTAAGCTTAAAGGGGTGAAAAATAGAGATAGAAACGTTTCCTAAAAAAATATCTATATTTTCATAGGATCCATACATATTGTATTATAAATAATGATATCAAATATATATTTACACCAAAGGCAGTATAGATTAAAGCTTTTTTAATGAAACTTTTTTAGTTACAGGAGAAAGTGAGATTTCAAAGCATTTTTTATTTTACGATGTAATTATACTTTAATGTAATAATACATGCGTAATTACAAGTGAACCTCCAATTATAGAGTGGCATGTCCGATGTACCTTTGAAACCTTCATTTCTCCATTGTTTCTGAATCAAGAAATGCATGAGTCACTTTTGTAGAAAAACCACAAATAAATATATTCAGTTTTCAAAATGGGAAACAGGGATATTTGATGTAATACTTGATCAGACAAAGCTTTGAAGGGTTTGGTTGTGAATCAGAATTGAAATTATGTCTGCAGTTACTTTAAACCTCTCAATTGATCCTTTATTAATTAAACTGCTTTGTAGGTTTGTCAACTTTGAAGAACAAAGTTGAAGAAAAAAGAAATTTACAAAATGATTTATTAAAAAAAGATTATGAAAACCTTCAAAAATACTGCCTAGGGCCTGATAGGATGGGACCTTTTCCTAAAAATTCTTGCACTAAGACTGTGCCCATTAATGAGTAAAGTAATAATGTGTCATCGTACAAGACGCAACATATCTTAATTTACTCTCAAATTCAGGCCAATAACAGACAAAAATAGATATTTTCAAGATAAAACAGTATTGAACATGAATAATAGTTTGTCTGGAATAAAAGGTTACTATGTTTTTATCAAATAAATTTTTATCTAACAGATTATACATTTGATTAAGGGTAAATGTAGGAGATCATTTTTATAAAAAAGTATTTTGTCCTGCAAAAATAGAATGAATTTACCTAAGAGACAATTTCCAAAGTCAGCTGAACTTGGGCAATATTCTCTAGAATCCTTTTCCTTATCTGTTTGACCATTTTTAATATAAACCCATTTCCTGTCTCTCAATCTTAAATATAAACATCTTGACATTCATGAGTTGGTGGAACCAAGAAATTTGATAAGATGGAAAGCTTGAAAACTCAACACTGGTAAATCTATTTAGAAGAAGAAAAACAACAAATATGACTCTTCTAGCTTTATAAAGCAAGGACAAGATTTTTACTTAAAATTGTGTTCCTTCAGTTTTTGGATCAGCCTTTATTTATAATAATTAAACTTATTATTAGCAAATGGATTGAAAAGGTAAAAACTAATAATTTGCTAGAATGTGCTTCGTTCAGCTTCTTTTAAAGGGTGTAAAAAAAAAAATCAAATTGTTCACAGTTTTCTTCACATCGTTTAGTGCTCCATTCTCCTCCACTCTCCTCCACTCTTCTCCACTCTCCACAACTGGAGGACACGAGCTTGACAAGTTGACCCCCAGAGCTCTGTCCTCATTGACGGATCTCCATGCACCAATGATGGCCCGCTTTAGCTGGACCAAAGTTTCACATATTTACTCTCTCCTTGATTTTCCCCCAAACATTTTCTATCGGCCATACATCAAACAACTTAGGGCACTGCTGCACTTCATGGTTAAAACTGTCATTGGCCGTTGACAATGCTTCAGCGCATATGTTGATTGAGGCTGGGTCAACTTGCCTGATAGCATCTCCTTCTGGGTACAGATCCTCAACTGCTAGAGCAGCATAGTCCCTAACAAGATCAGCATTCATAGCACCATTCATGTTTTCAGGAACATGGGTTGTAGTTCTTGTAAATATCACTCATAAACACAAGGGACTCAGAATTTGACCCTGCGTTATCCCTGCAATTGTTGCCTGCATGTTTTGTAACATCAAGGCCGCCATGAAACTTCTTTATTTGGTAAAAAAAATAACTTTAAGGGTGGCTGGATTAACTCAGGTGCTTCTCCAGGTAAGCTTGGATTTGTTGTTTGATGTGGGATCTTTGCTAAGAATTCATAATGTGAGAATAAAACTGTTAACGTTTTCCCATATCCTCATACAAGGTTTAGTGGATTTTTATGCAAGTTGGCTCGAAAACAAAAGTTATAAAGAAAACTGTGAACCGTTTGGTTTTTTTGACACCCTTTATGTCTGTTAAGCTACCATCTTGGATTCCTTAGAAAATGAAAAAGATATGAGATAATAATACCAATATCTTTAGTTAAAAAACTTACCTCCAATAAATTTCCTCACCACCATCAGCAGAATATTTTCTGCTTGAAACATCAATTTTGAAATTTCTGTTATCATATGTCAGAGCAGAACAGCATTCTAAAGTTTTAGATCTTGAAATTTCATCAAGCATAGAAAAGTATAATACCTTTGGGAGTTTAATTGGAATATTTCTTTTTTTGCATTTACTTCATATCATGATTTATATATTTTACTTTTGATTGAAGGGCTTAATTCCACGTTTTATAAAATAAAAGCTTAATTGAATCTCTGATATTGGGGTTTAGCCCATTTTAATTGAATTTCTAATCGATTTAATTCCAGGGATCCTCAACAGGGACATTTCAGAAAGTGTTTACCAACATTTAGAGTTGAGTAATCGTCGTCGTAAAGGGGGGGAGGGGGGGCTAAGCTCTGAATACATGCAAATGAACAGAATTTTTTAATGCGTCAAGCACATGACCCGACAGAAATTATACTTTTGAAAAAATTAGAAATTTGGAGAATTTCCACAGGCATTCGGGGAATTTCCCAGATTCCCAGGTATTTGGGAAATTTCCAGATTCCCAGGCATTTGGGGAATTCCCAAAAATTCCAAAATTCCGTTAAAAGTTTGAGGTTTGTATAGGCATTTGAGAAATTTCCTATAATTGAAAAAAAAAACTACCTACAGATTCTCAAAGGAATTTGGGAATACCCCAGATTACCAGGTAATTGGAGAATTTCCCAGATTCCCGGGTATATGAGGAATTTCCCAGATTCCCAGGCATTTGAGGAATTCCCGAAATTTGAGGTTGGTATATTTTTAGGATTTTGGGAATTTCTCAAATGACTTTATACTTGGGGAATTTCCCAGTCTCCAGATATTTGGTGAATTTCCCAGATTCCCAGGTATTAGGTGAATTTCCCAGATTTCCAGGCATTTGGGAAATTCCCCAGATTTCCAGGTATTTAGGAAATTTTCCAGATTCCTAGGCATTTGGGAAATTCCCCAGATTCCTAGGTAATGGGAAATTTCCAATTTGGACCATTTTCACAATTGCTTTACATTTCTAATCCCTATGTCTTTGTAATCTGATGGTATAAAACCTTTGATATTTCAAACTTTGTTAGTTAGATATTAAACTATAATTTAAAATGTCAACGACTTCAGGTTGCAATTATGAAAGGGTTAAAAAATACTGTTTGAGGCAAATGTTAAAAAATGCAACTAAAAGGGAGTGTTCTAGAAAAATGAAAGGGGATAAAGGCTAATATTGAATCGAATTTGATGGTGATCGCTACTAGTTTTACTTCTATCTGAGAAAATGAGAAAATGATTAAACACGACTCATACCAAAGAACCCAGTGTCAATACAAAGTTACATTATTCCACTCAGATCGTAAATAAATCAATTTATTTTAGAATTAATCATTTAGATACTACAATCGTTAATCATCTAATTCAATTCGACGCATTCTTAAAAAGTTAATATTTAATAATAATTTTTCAATAGCTTTATTTACAATATGCTTTATACGACGATTATGTTGCCGCTAGGTGTCTCTGCTCTCGATGCTTAAGGGGTTTCACATGGAAGCTAGACACCTCGCGACCAAAAAAAGCATAGTTTAAAATATATTGTATTTTTAACAAAAAAAATTATTATGAAATATTAACTATATATAAATGCATCGAATTAAATTCGATAATAATCTATATGATAAAGCTTTTTGCTTATCTATAGATAATTTGCTTGTGTATTTATATTTGTATGTATGTTTAAATGATAGCTATAGCTGGCCAAACGGCTGAACCAAATTGGCTGAACATTTTTAAGGAAACCCATGGGTTTCCCGTGGGTACCGTAGGCTATAAAAATTCGAATTTCTTTTTTTCAAAATTTTTTTTTTCTTTAAAATTCTAATTTTTTTCTAATTTCACGGCACTTGATATCTGAATGGTTAGTTTTAAATTAAATTGAAATATTTACGATCTGAGCTGAAAACTTTAGAATGAGATATCCTTAATCCCGATTAGTTAATCTGAGTATCCAATGGAAACACTTTTGATTTTCTTCTTAAGCTACTCTTTCTTTGATATAGTAGAGAAAAATCAAAAACCAGTTTTTTAAATTAGAGAGTCCCTCCCGTTTCTGTATATAATCTTAAATGGCGCGAAAAATTTCAAAGGAATTGAGTTTTTGCCACAAACTCAGATTTTCTAATTCCTATAACTT